GAGTAGCCCCAAGCTACAGACCTGCTCCTTCAGAGGAAGTGTAACCCCATCAAGAGCAGGCAATCTCCCAGCCATTCGGTCCATTACCAAGGCAAGACAAGGGTCCAGCACGTCCACTGCCTCACCCTGCAGATGTAAAAAAGGAGAGCTCTGTGCCGTCCGTATATTGCTGACAGCGTACTCCAAAACTCTGGATGACCCCACTCAGCCGTTTCACATAGATGTTAAACAGCACAGGGGATAAAACTGAACGCTGAGGAACCCCACGTTGACGGCTCCCTTGAACCCCGGAGAGCCGCCATGCAGACAGTAGTGCGATAGATGGAACAATTGGTCTGAACTCGGCATTGGGCAGCTTCCTATGTTCCTCTATATCAGACGTATGTAGATATGCTCTCAAACCTTCTGTTGCTTTAAGAAAGGCCCCCACCCCCAGTTATGTACTTCTCAGGGCAAAGCAGAACGTGGAGTCGGTTTGAGGCCAGTTATGGTTTTCCAGGAAGCTTCCATCTGCTGTGTATTTACACAACAGAAGGGAGTAGGAAAGAACTGGCAGAGAGTGAGGAATTGAGAACGATCTGAAGAAAAGAAGGCGGAGGTGGGAGGCAGAGAAGTAGGAGAGAGGTTAAGGCATCAACCTCCAAAAAGAAGAATCCCTACTTGCAAAATGCACTTTGTTCCATGTGCTGGCTTTTAAGCAATCCGAGCCATTTGAACACAGAAGCTGCAGCCTCAAGGGCCAAACATCCTTCTTGAGAACATTCTGAGGACCACGGTGGCGTGTGAAGCAATGGGTGTATGCTCCCAACTGCTCCAGATTTTTTTCCGGGAGCCAAATTAAGGTCCCGTTGTTTCACCTTCAAAATCCCTAAATGATAATTGGGGTCGGGGGCAAGCACACAGCCCAGTCACTCTCACATCAGTTCTCCCTTTGCACAGCTGGAAGCAAAATAGGAAGAAGCGTCTTTGCATTACATCTGAACTCAGGAACATGGTCCGTTTCTCCCTGATAAGCCAAGATCACCAGCCAGCTTGGTGTTGACTTATGAATCTTGTTTTGTTCGGGGGGAAACAGACTACAATCCCATCATGCTAAACCAGCCTTCCCCGACTTGGGGATGTTGGTAGACTAGAACTCCCATCGTCCCTGAGCTGCATTGGGCTGGATGAGCTCAAGGTGGGAGGTTGTGCTAAGCTACCTCCTTCGTGGTTTGTTTACCCGAATGCATAAACCTGGAAGAACTGGGCTGAGAGAACTGTCTGTTTAGATTACTTGAGGAAGGGCACTTACTCAGCAGAAGAGCATCTGCTTCACATGCAGGTTCAACCTCCAGCATCTCCAGGTACGTCTCAGAATGGTCCACCTGTGGAACCCTGGAGAGCTGCTGCCAGTCAGTGCAGAGAATGCTGGGCTAGATGGACCAATGGTCTGATTCATTTTAACAGAGCTTCCTACGTTCCTGGCTTATAGCTATGCAGCCACTGAGGCCAGGAAGCCACATGTCTTTTGCCATTTAAGCTGTTAGGAGTGTGTGAGTGTGGGGTGAGGCCCTCTCATCTGTGGCACCCAGGATATGGGTGCCCTTGTCCCAGAAGCCTCAACTGGCCTTCTTCCTTTTGAACATTACAACATCAGGCCCAAACAGTACTTTCTAAAAGGATGCTCTGCGATTGGATTTGGACTTGGCTGCTGATGCAGTATCGCTGCTGCTCACGATTTGGCAGCCTGGAAATCAAACAGCTACTTTTGTCTTGTTGGCATTTCATGGAGGTTCTTGGCTGCCCTGAGGCTCCCGGTCAGGATCCAAGTATCTAAGTGATGGAATGGACTGCAGAATGCAGATAACTATTAACTGCTGGAGATGCGGCTTCCTGCTGACCAAATATTGCCATTTATTTATTGCATTGCATTTTTATCCCACCTTTCAATGCAAGGAGCTCGAGGTAGCATCCCCTTGTCATCCTCACAGCTACCCTCTGAGGCGGGTTAGGCTGAGAGGCAGCGATTGGCCCAAGGTGCCCCAGGGAGCTTCGTGGATGAGTGAGGATTTGAACTCTGGTCTTCCAGGTCCAACACTCTAACCGCTACACAACACTGGTTCTCTCTTTGTTTCGAGAGGAGTCCAGAAAGTTTCTTTTTTAAAAAGAAAGCCATACAAAGTAAGTAAACTGTCAGGTTGCTGCCTTGCAAAAGAACTGTAAACACAAATTCACAGAACAAATTATGACATACTATGAACTCTGCTCTTTTTTCCTGAAAAAGCTCTTCTAAATTATTGTGCAAGAAGGAAACCCACATTTTTCTTTATCATCAGATGTAATGGCTGCCTCAAAAAAACCAAAAAACTTTCGGCTGGGAAAAAACGGGGAAATGATGACACTCCAAAATGCCTACAATTAAAGACAAGGCAAATGAAACACGGAAAATATAACAGCTGGCTGAGCGAAACCGTAAAATTGAAAGATTGAAAACAAAATTTGAAAGGGAAGGGTGCAAAAAGTTTACAAGCATTTTTTTTTAAAAGTGAAAACAACCACCAACATTAGAGTTTCTGAACTTTCGGGAATCTACAGATTTTTGTTTTAATATAAATATTTGTCTTTTTTCAAAAAGAAAGAATAAAAGAAAACTTGTTTTAAAAAGAAAGAAAGAAGCAGCAGTATAAACTGGGACTTACGTCTTGAAGTTTCTTATAGCTAGGTGTAAAGAGAGGAGGTTGCAAATTCATAAAGGATAGTCAACTGAGAGCACTTACAATACACAACTGAAGCTACATGGTAAGAGGCAGTATACCTCTAAGAATTAAATGCTGGAGTCAAGCAGTAGGGGTTGCAATCACTCTGTATTCCCTGCTCGTGAGTTTCCCATAGGCATCCATTATACACAAACCTACCAAGAACAAGGTAGAGCTGCTTGCCTTTATTCACATTCTCAAGTTACGATAAACTAGGGTTGCTCATGCCCACAGCTCAGTCACTCCCATGTCATTCCTCCCCTGTCACAAACAGGAAAGCTGTTTCTGCAAGTGCTTGGGATTAAATCTGGGATCTCCTGCATGCAAAGCATGTTCTCCAGGAGCACTAAGCTAAGGCACGAGAACAATACTATACACTTAAGCCATTTCCACTGCAGGGAAGCAAGTATTACACAAGGATTTGCAATGCACAAGACTTTGGTCTCTGATAGCCCAGAGGGTTGCAACAGCAGTGCAGCATCCCAGCAGGTGGTCAGGAAAACTTGCACCAAAGGACCGCTTCCAAGAAACAATTCCCCGTTTTAAAAGTGGCACAAGGTAAGCTCTAAAAACGTCCAGGACACTTCCAATTTGACCTTGTAACATCACCTTTCTTAGCCAACTCTTTTCTACCAAAGGAGGAAAAAAAGAAATCCTTTTCTCAAATTAGTTGGTAGACGGCTTACCCAAATACACATTTGGAAACAGGTTGCAGTGAAAGACCTTGATGCAGGCTACCACCACCACCACCACCACCGATCCATGCATATCTGAAATGTGTTATTTCTCAAGATGGATCAGAGGCTGAACAGTAAGGGCCCCGCAGGATCAGAAGTGTTTGACAAGTCAAATGTACTGTTTCCAATAGGGGACAGCCTATTAAGGACACAAGCTGCAAACAAACCTAAATGCACCACTGTCAGCAATTACAGTTAAATAAAGCCTCCAGATACAGAAGCAATCTATCTGTATGTACCAGGTAAAAGCAAGAGAGGGCCAGTGCTCCACCTCTGAGCAACCTGGGGCACCTCGCTGGGAACAGGAGAGTGGGCTGGATGGGTGCAGACAGATGACTTTAGGCTCTGGAGCAGACAGACTCTTTAGATCAGGCTTCACCAACCAGATGCCCTCTGTATAACTCCCCAAGCCACAGAGCAATGGTCTCTGCGGCTGAAGGAAGCTGTAGTCCAAAGCGCATGGGGGGGCACCAGGTTGGCCAAGGCTGCCCTATCACCACCCCTGCCTATCAGCTCAGACTCAATACGCCCACCCAGTCCAACACTCCCTATCCCAGGGCAAGGTACCCCAGGGTTTATTGCCTCCCAGCATGCAGGTTGCAGATAACCATTCATATTAACAGCCAGCAACAGACATCTCCTCCTCCTCCAAAAACTTGCCCATTACCATCTGAGAAGCCTGGTCAGTTGTATGCTGAACGCATCAAGATTCAGGACAAGAAATGAAAGTTCTTCTTTATGCAGCGTATAGCTAAAATACAGAGCTCTCTCTCGCAGAAGGCAGAGGTGGCCACAGGCTTAGGACTGCTTTAGAAGACAATTAGGAAAATTCATGGGTGATTAGGTTATCAGTGGCCAGGCAGCAAGGCTTCTGAGTATCAGTTGTTGAAAACTGCAGGAATGTGCACTGCTCTAGTGCTCAGGTCCTGCTTGTGGGAGTTTCCGAGAAACGTCTTGCTGGCAGCTGTAGAGAGCAGGCTGCTGCATTAGCTGGGCCATGGGCCTGATCCAGCAGCGTTCTTATTATGTTCTTAAGGCAAGTTGGCTCTGCACAGCTCCAGTTTTGCCTCTGAATCCTAGTAGCTGAGATTCACCAGTGAGGAGCGTGCTGTTGCACACACAATCCTGCTTGCAACCATCCTGGGGGCATGTGACAAGCCACTGTGAGAAGAGGACCTGATCCAGCAAGGGCTCTTCTTGTTTTCAGTTCTTAAGCAGCAGAAACAGGCTGAAGCCCTTCAAACAGCACATGGCAAAAAATCGCATTTCAGAATGCCTCCCTCCATTAAAACTCCCTGCTGATAGAAACCTAGAATCATGAGCTGCACTGGAACCTTTCACCCTCATGAGCTAATCTTCTATTTGCAGAGCACTGCTTTTCTCTCCCCACCCCCTTAATGCAGTCAAATTTGTATTCCCCCGTGTAGTGTGAGGATACACAGTCTCATGGAATCATACAGAGTTTTAGAGTTGGAAGAAACCCTGAGGATCATCTAGTCCAATCCCCTGCAATGCAGGAATATGCAGTCGTCCCATACAGGGATTGAACCTGCAACCTTGGTGTTATCAGCACCATGCTCTAACCAAGTGAGTTGTCTCGTGGGTTGAGCTATTCTCCCAACCCAGTGTGGTTACAGCGTTGCGTCGAGGACGCAGGTTCAAATCCATTCTAAGCCACGTACCCCAATGGGTAGCCTTGGGCTGTTTTGAAGTCTCTCAGCCTGGCCTGCTTCACAGGGCTGATCTGAGGCTAAGATAGGGATGTGGAAATCCTCAGTGGGAAGGTGGGATAAACAAACGCCACAATAAATATATTTCGGCTGTGAAGTGTGGGCCTCAACCTTAGGAAGTGCAGTGGTCAGAGTCCTCGGCCAGAGCCTGGGAGACCAGGGTTAAAATCTCCACTCAGCCATGAAGCTTACTGGGTGACCTTTGGCCAGCCACTCACTCTCAGTCTAACCTACCTCACAGGGCTGTTGTGGGAATAATGTGGGGAGAAGCACCTTGAACGGAAGGTGGAATATAAATGTAAAAACTAACTAAATGAATCCTGGGGCAGGGAATTAGTTCATCCTCCAGCTTGTCCTGAATCTGCTCCCCATTCCTTGGCTGACCCCTTCTTCCCATGCCTTCTTGAGTTCTATTGCCAAGAGGAAAGGAGAAACGTGTTCCCAACCCACAACCCCCCCCCCCCGGCATCCTTTAAAAAATAAAAGGGGAAGCCCTAGGGATTCAAAGCCAATCTGCAAATCCTCTGCATGTGCTTCTCCTACTTAGAAAGAACAAAAGGATGAAAAGTGATCAAAGCGGCCAATCAAACGCCATCTTTCCACCCACCCTTTGTGCAACGGGTACCCTGGGGAGACGGTTCCTTTACCTGTGAGTCTCAGCCAACTTGCTGAGCTTTAAAAATAACACTCGGGAAACAGCAGTGTGGCGGCGGCAGATTGCGAAAACAACACGGTGGCTAGATTGAAGGTGCGGGAGCGGGGGGGGGGGGGGAGAGTTGATGCTTTAGGCCTTGGGATAGTCGTGAGAACGGATGACTTCGCTTGGGTGCACTTGGGGAACTAGAGGGGAGCAGAAGACCGGTCACCCCCCACCCCCCATCATTCCGCAAGCATCTGCAGGCGTGCAAGCATTCGGGCACACAGCGGGGAGGGGAAGAACTGAGCATCCATCTCGTACGGACCTCCCCACCCACCTCCAAAATTAGGGTGGCACAGAGGTACTTACGAAGCGATTGATCTGCCTGCGAAGCATAGCTGGACTGCCGCAGCGCCTTGGAGAGAGGGGGGCAGTGGGGTGGTAGTGGGGTAGTCCTGGTTTCTTAGAGCCGACTGGCACAAGCACTTAGCCCCTCTGCACGGGTCCCCAAGCCTCGGGGTCAGTGGGGACGCTGCGGCGAGCGGAGAGGCGCCCCCAGCCCCCGCTCGCCGTCCCCCCAGCCCCGCGGTCACCGGCGCGCCGCTCTGCCGCTCAGCCGCATCCCTCCTCTTCCAGTCGTGGCACCAACCGCAGCAACAGCCCACGGCGGGGCTCTCCCTCTCTTCCTCCCAGAGAGCAGCCCCAGATATGGGGGCGAGTCCCTAGCTTCGCCAACACTCCTCGGCTCTGTCAGGCTGGCCGGAGGCAAGATCTGGGCAGCATGCCTTGCTTTGGTGATAATAATAATAAAACCGAGGCTGCAGGGGAACAATAGCCAAAGCAGGCAGGCCGGCTGCCAGGAAGGGGGAAGCTGCGGCGGGAAACCCAGACTGCTGGATGCAACCTCCTCTTCCCCTGCAGCGGAGGCGGAGGCAGCAACAGCCCTCCCCGCCCCCGAGGCCCGAGAGCGGCGGGAGACCGAAAAACCGAGGCGCAGCGCTACGCTCACGACTTCTGCAAGCGCAGAGCGCTCCCCGCGCGCCCGCCTCTCCCAAGCGCACGTGGCACGCTGCCTCGCCGATGCCCGCGGAGACCCAAACGACCAGCCCAGCGGCCCTTCCTGCTTCCCTGCCCCGCCACGGGCTACTTTCTGGCTTTCGCCTGGAGGCTCCACTTCTTCTATTTCTCCTCCCACCCCTCCGCCCCGCTCTGTTTTCGCAGCCGCCCCAGGGGCGGAACCTTCGGCTTCTCTCCACCCATTGGGTCCCGAGAGCAGCTTGGGAGGTGTAGTATATTTGCCCGATGTCCGGGATGGTAGGAGAAGGGAGAGCGAGGCTAGCGAGCGCCGGCCTGTTGCTCCTCCTCGTCCTCGGCCCGCCGCAGTAAGGGGAAGTTGGCTTGGAGGTTGGCTAGGCCTCTCGGGCGCACCCAAAACAGAACCTGACGGGCAGTCACCATTGCGCCCAACTCAGCAGCACACTGACGGGCCGTGGGCTCGCTAGCATTTCAGACAGGGAACATAACCCTATCTACAGGAGCCTGGGATCTTCTGATTGCAAAGCAATAAGCGACCGCCTTTCTCTTGCCGCTGCGGCGCAAATTGGTATGGTTTCGCCTCCGAACTCACCGAATCAACTTTTAAGAGTTTCTGCACCTTTTCCTGCGAACGGAAGGACTTGTTTTTAACTGGCTTAGGCATGCGCATCAAAAGCACAAATATATTTCCTTGCAAAAAGGATGGCAGTTTGATCTCTGCCTAATGGCATCATCACAATGAATACTTTTAAAATACACGGTATCCCTCTATTTAATTGTTGCATTTCTGTTCTACATTTCCACCAAGGAACCCAAGATAGCATACATACACTGTGTGTTTATTAAATTTGTATACCACTTAATAAGTTTAATGATTCTCTCATGGGGTGTTTGTTTGTTTTTTTGGTGTGTATGTGTGTGTGTGTGTGTGTGGATGTCTTTAAAAATACACACCATTGCCTTTATTTAACTGTTGCATACCTATTCTGCCTTTCCATCAAGGAACCCTAACTAAACGAAATTACCTAAGTGGTGAACAACATCAGAGTAACATATAAAACAACATACAATTCAGAACTACACCAGGTGGTCATGCTTTGGGGAGAGCTTGAAATTCAGAAGTTGCACGGTCCCTCCAACCTGTTCCGCCACACTGCATTTTAACCACGCAATGCCATAGGGAGGGAGGCGATCGGGGGAGTCAACCATGTCAGAGTGAAGGTTTGAACTTGTGTCTCGCCAACCCTACAATGAGACTTTTAGTTTCAAATGTATTTAAGGATGGGCCTTGCTAAAACTCGCACATAAGCATGCTCAATTTGCAGGGATAAAGAACCACCAACCCACCAGATGTTGCCCTCTCAACTCCCATCACCATGCTGGCAGGGACTCATGGGACGTTGAGTCGGAACAAAATCTGGAGGGGTGCAAGCTCCCCAGCCTTGCAGTAAAGCGTCACCCCAACAGAAACATAGCTCTTGCCATTCCTCACAGCATAAATTCCTGTAGCACATGTTCCTCATTTCTGCTCCAGGAACCCAGGAAGAGAGAGTGCTTTCTGGTCCTGCTTGCAGTCTTCCCATTCAGGCACCTGACTGGCCACTGGGAGAATAGGATCTTGTATCTGATGGGCCATTGGTCTGATCCAGCTGTGCTCATGTTCTTAATACCAATCGCTGAGAGAGCACTGTTGCACTCGGTCCTGCTTGCGGGTTTCTCACATCTGATTGGCCACTGTGAGTAACCAAACAAACCCCTGTGTTGCAAAGAGAACGTCAGCAATGTCTAGGCAATGTCATCTTATTTCGAATGAATGTACATAAATGAAAATATCAAATGCTGTGGAATGTTCCACAGCATTTGATATTTTCATTTACAAACCCATAAGATGGGTTTATGAAGCAATTCTATATCCTCCCACCACGCTGACGAAGAATTCTACGAAACAGTCAATATCCGGAATCACTGTTCAGTGTTGGACATCATGTTTGCTGAATACACAAAGCTTCACAGCTTATCTTACATCGTACAAAGCCTGGTACCTTGCTTCATTTAAAGATTTTCAGAGACTTTGAGACTAAAGATTTCATTTTCTCCTTGTTATGGTTTGAAGGAATTCTATAAAGATTGTTGTGTTTGTACATGGTCATCATGTTGCCTAGACATTGCTGATGGCCACTGTGAGAACAGGATACTGAACTAGATGGGACACTAGTCTGATCGATCAGTTCATGTGTTACAGAAAATGGAGAACACTTCCCCTCTTTCACATAACATTGGAGCTTTAGGTCACCAGCTAGATTGGTGACTGGGCGTGGCCACCGAGACCATACAACACCGGTCCTAAAAGACCTACATTGGCCCCAGTACATTTCCAAGCACAATTCAAAGTGTTGGTGCTGACTTTTAAAGTCCTAAATGGCCTCGGTCCAGTATACCTGAAGGAGCGTCTCCACCCCCATCGCTCAACCCGGACACTGAGGTCCAGCTCCAAGGGCCTTCTGGCAGTTCCCTCCCTGCGAGAAGTGAGGTCACAGGGAACCAGGCAGAGGGCTTTTTAGGTAGTCACACCTGCCCTGTGGAACGCCCTATTATCAGATGTCAAAAAGATAAACAACTATCTGACTTTTAGAAGACATCTGAAGGCAGCCCTGTTTAGGGAAGTTGTTTATGTTTGATGTTTTATTGCATTTTTAATATTCTGTTGGGAGCCGCCCAGAGTGGCTGGGGAAACCCAGACAGATGGGCAGGGTATAAATAATAAATGATGATGATGTAGCTGGTGGTCAGTAGATTCAAGAAGAACAAAATGAACTCCTTCACACAATTAAACTTGTGGAACTCACTGCCACAAGATGGAGCAATGGCCACTTAGGTAACTTTCAAAGAATAATAGAATCAATGATGTGTAGGGTTGGAGGGGTTCCCATAGGCACCCAGCACAGGCCCCTGCCATGCAGGAATCTCAGCTAAAGCATCCATGACAAACGACCATCCAACCTCCGTATAGAACAGGAGTCCCCAAACTAAGGCCTGCGGGCCGGATAAGGCCTGAGGGACTCGTTTATCCAGCCCGTGGCAACCCTCGCTGCCTGCTGCTGCCACCCACTCTTACCGGCGCTGCGCTGCACGGCTGCTCACTTCCGGGTCAGAGGAGCACCGGAAATAGCTTGTGCACATGCGCAAGCATTATTTGCACATGCACAAGCGTTA